CCCCCCCCCCCCTCCCCCAATACACTCCCCCCTCGCTACGGCCCTGAACTGTATTAGCTACAAGTAATGAAGTATCCGTTATACAGCAAAATGTTAACGAACATTGCCCCCCCCCACAAAAAAAAAATAGAGTAAGTGGCTAAGTGCCCTTTTTAAATGGCTGCCCCCGCCGCTTGATGTTGCTTCCGGCGCCCCTAAACAATCTTGAAATCTCCATGATTAGAATCATAAAGCTCGAAAACGGTTAAAACTTTTTCTCTTTTTTATTATTTAATTCGCCTTGTACATACTGTTATATGGTGGCAACATCGTAATACGAGTTTCCCTAGACTCGAATCTACCTAAACTCGGGCGTGCCCTTGATCTTTGACGCAAGGTTGAACTTTCGTCGTTCATTTTCTTCAATTTTCGCATTCGTGTAATAAAGTCATGTCGTTTAAATCATGACACAAAATATAATTTGGGAAAAAGGTTCTGTAAATTAAAAACTAATTGGTTTGTTTGTTGTATTGGATTTGAATGTTTATTCGAACAGTCACATTTTTGTGATAAAATATGAACATTTAACGAGCAAAATATACCGAAATACAACTTGAACAAGAACTGCAACGAACAGTTACACGAGGCACTAAAATGGATACACCAAACCTTCAAATTCGAATGCATGACGCAATATCAACAAGTTTAATTTAACACTTTTTCTCATTCGCAGTTTGAATGTTTATCTACCTGTTTAGGTTTTATTGCAACACCTGTTAGTTCACGCAGTTTCTTAAATTTTTCCTTTGGAATAGCCATCGTGAATAAATAAGCTAACATGCTACCTGTTGGACAATAAAGCACAGTTGATGTTTTTTTTTCTACTTGTCTCGTACAAATGATACTTTATGTCTGCGTGTTTAGATCTTCCATGAAATATTGGGTACTTAGACATAGCAATAGCTGACTCATTATCCTCGTAAATGGTACTTGTTCATCAATGTCGTTTACACTAAGATCTATTAACAATTGTCGCATCCACAATGCCTCTTGTACAGCTGCAGATAAAGCGACGTATTCAGCTTCAGCTGTTGATAATGCTACACAAGTTTGCTTTTTGCGTCGCCAGCTACCAGCATCATCATGTATTTGACATGTATAACCAGAATTTGATTTCCGTCCATTTAAACCACCTGCCCAGTCCGCATCTGAAAATCCAACACAATCTGGACTAGCATTCTTTGAGTAAAGTAGTCCACAGTTCCTTTCAGGCATAGAAAAATTCGTTTTACAGCAGTCCAATGTTCATTTGTAGGATTTGCTGAAGAGTTAGCAACATTGTTAACTGCAAATGTTATGTCAGATCGTGTTGCCGATGGTAAATACAACAAACTCCCAACTGCTGACTGTGTGATACTCTTCTTTGTTAAACAGTTCACTGTCTTCCATAGCATTAACAAACTTTGAACTCAAAACAACAGGAGTTTCAACGGGCTTACAATTTTCCAAACCGTACTTCTTCATGATGCCCGCCGTGTAGGTAGGTTGACCAATGCACATGCACCTTACCATCCTATTGAATCACGTACTTGTAGACCAAGAATATACTTGAGCTCACCCATACCTGCCACTTGAAATCTTTCTGCAATGCTTTCTTTGAGTTTGGCAATTTTTTCGTTAGTTTTACCAGCAAGAATGATGTTATCAACGTGAATAACAACAATAAAAATATTACCGTCCTTTTCTTTCACATAAATACAGGGATCACTTTCCGTTTGAGTAAAACCAATCGATTTCAAATGCTCATCCAATACAGAATTCCAACATCTAGAAGATTGCTATAAGCCAAACATGCTCTTGTTTAGCTTACAAACCAGATGTTCCTTCCCTTTAACTTTAAAACCTTCAGGTTGTTTCATATACACTTCACCTTCTAGTCCTCCATTTACAAAACCAGCGGTTACATCCATCTTATGCAACTTTAGTCCTCTTTAAACAGTCCGTATCGATTAAAAACGCACCACTGGGGAGAATATTTCACGGTAATCCACCCCATATCTCTGCCAAAAATCTTAAACGCTTGGAACGTTTGCGATAGTTACCCATTCACCAAAACGATAAGGTGCACGTCTTTCCCGCACTGGTTCGTTAATTTCTGCATTATCTGCTTGATCATCCTGAAAAACTACATCATTATCATTCGACAGTTCGAGAGTTACATGTTTATCAGCCTGAAATTCATTCCCTGGCAACTCCTTCTCCATGCCAAATTAATTTTCATTGAATTTAATATTCCGAATATATATAACTCCTGAATTATGAGCATCATATAAACGATATCCCTTGGTTTCAGTTCCATATACTAGCAGAACACATTTCTTCGCCTTTGAATCAAACTTCTTTCTCTCATCCTTTGGAATGTGTACATGCATAGTACATCCAAAACTTCTCAAGCGTTTGACATCAGATTTCCTTCCAGTCAATGCTTCAAATAGAGTCATGTTGGCTACTCCTTTTGTTGGGCTTCAGTTTATGCAAATAAACCGCAGTCGAGAGTATTGCTACTCCAAATTTGTGCGGTAGTTTAGATTGAATAAGCATATCTCGAACTGCTTCAATAAGTGTCCGGTTTAGTCTCTCAGCAACGCCATTTTGCTTTGGGATTTTCGTTAACTCATGCTTAACTCCCTAAACATCTAATTTTAAATAGTTCTCAAATTCATTTGAAGTAAATTCATCACCATTATCAGTTCTCAGAGATCATAGCCAGAAATCTCATACAACATGGCGACGAGTATGCGCAGAAAACGCTATTGCGGCGCTAAATATTGCCGCGAAATGAGTGTAAAATGTATTAAAAATTTGAAATTTCTAGCTGCCTGTCTTTGCCATACGAAAGCTGACTTTTCCCAGCGTCAAAATCAATAAAACACTCCTTGAAGAATATTTATAGCGAACAAAATTTGAAAATAAGATCATTCTAGACGGTGCCTTTTTCAACTTTTGTTGAGATGGTTACCTCAGTACTATTCTTAATAATTTATCAATTTAACGCTAACCTTTGTTCAAATTTGGTCTGCTTAGACAGAATCACTCCATCGATGAATCTCCCCCAACGTCACATTCAAAAGATAAGACGTTAAACTATTTAAAAATATATTTTTTAACCAGATATTCAACCGTTGAAGCGGTGCCATTTCCCGCTAAAGATCTAGATCGTAATAATTTTAAACGTTAAATATAAAACTGGAAGAAGATGGCTAAAGGTATA